CCCCCCCCCCCCCCCCCCTCCCTAGCCAAAACACACACACACACACACACCCAACATCAACATTTCACAAGACTGGATGTGAAAGGTAAGGGGAAGTTGACAGGTTGCAGGGTTGCAGCAAAAGTCATGGCCCTATATATTAAACCTTAGAGGAATTGTAAATATTTTACTGGAAGACTGTCAGAGAAAAAAAACCAAAACAAAACCATCTCTCTTGGTGACTTGTGTTAAGTCCTACCCACCCAAGAGATTGTCGGCTACCTGCCACTTGGGCTCACAAGTGCTTCTGGCAGCCCTCCTTATATTCACGGGACGCGTTCCGTTAAGGATAATGCTCACATGGGCAAGCTCTGATTGAAAGATGGCACCCAGTGAAGGATTATAGACGTATGACCGAAGGAAAAGGAAACTAGAGAGAATGGATCCCTCCCTCTTTTGTTGCTTTCTATCCTCGGGTAACAAATTGCCTCTGAAGTCAGATTGCAGTGGCAGAGTTGAAGCCAGCGTGCCATGATGGGAATAGGAGGGAGTGAAGTGAAGTTGGGGGCCGGAGGGGGGGTGGGAGGGGGTGAAGACAGTAGATGGATCCACACCTCCCTTCTTACCACACTCATCTGGTTTCCACTCTGCCTTATCAGGACCAGATGGATACATCTTCTGAAATCCCGCCACCCTTCCTTACCACCACCTCCCCTGACTTTGCTAGTTTATGACACAGCACAGATTTTGTCACTCTGCGGTTTTCTCCAAGGAAAGAGAAAATAGCAACCACAGTCTCTATTTCACCAGGAGGAGAGAATACAAGCTGAAAAAGGCTTCTCTCCAAGGCTTCCTTTGCCTCTATTTTACATCATTCTCTTTCTGTTGCCACACACTACGATTTAATGGCACTGATCGGTGACTTTTTTTTTTTTTTTGTTTTGTTTTTAATATGATGATCCACTTCCTCTCCTGCAGTATGCTCACAAACAGTAAGAATCCTTTGTGTGGCAACATACTGGAACACACAAAAGCCATCTCTGGTTACAATTTGACCAGTTTCTCAATGTAGATGTTTATCTCCGCCCAAAGTGAAAGGCAAAACAATTAAATGCTCTTCCACGAGATGGGATAAGGTCAAATTAACCTGCGTGTCCACCTGACACCTGTCATTCATCCAACCGAATACATCATGGCTTCCTGCGAGTATATACCGTTGTATTGAAAAACGGGAATGAACCCAAATGCCAGTTGGTCCTCCATCATGACTTCACTGAGGTCATTGGTCTTCTCCATTTCTTACGCTCCTCCGCTTTCTCCTCATCACCACTTCAGTGTTATGGTCGTGCGAAAAGATGCTTGGGGAGATGTGAGGCGTGTCGGCATTAATGCAAAGAAAAAAAAAAGACTGAATTTGATAGGCTGTGACAGTAGCAATTGGGGGGGCGTTACAGGGAGCGATGTGGGTTTTGGAGTATTGGTTCAGTACTAGTTTTAAGTCAAACGTACCCTTTAATGTGGAGTGACTTTGTTCACTTTACAGACGGGTGTCATTTTACTTACGATTGTAGTACTTTAAGATTGGCCCTAACTCTGGATGGATTTGACAGCATGCCACAGCCAACAAGTGGCAGCCTCAACAATGCATTTCAGAGTAACCCACTTGAGATTGAGAAGTCTCCGAAAATTGTTCTAAAAATCTTTTACGAGTCTGACTGTCTTTAAATAGCCTCCCGAAAATACAACGCTAAACGAGATCCGCACTTCATCATCGAGATGTACACCCAATTGCACCGAAACCAAACGACAATTTTTGCACAAACAGAAGCAGGCTGGAGTATTTTGGAATCTCCGTGCCCATTCACTGCCTGTGCAGGAAATATAGATGACTGACCTCACCAAAACCTCATCTGAAACCTGAAACCATCTGTAAGCCTAAAACAATAAAGCCCCCACTGCATCAGACCTCAACCGCAAACCCCAGCGACTCAGCACTGTCCTTTTGTATCAACCCCTCGACATACGCATATTTATAGATTTCAACCATCTACCTATCCGTACGCCAGATGAAAAATCCTTTTGCGGGCAAGTCTGGGTAAAGAAAAATGGCTGAAATGCTACTAAAGCTTCTCTCTGGGCTTGCCAAGGCCAACAAGAGAGGGCCTGCCAGACGAAGCCATGCGTACGTGTATGCGTGTAGCGCACGCATACAGTAAACATTCGGTTTGTTTGATCAGCGATGCATGTGAGAGATGTGTTCTTTGCTTCCTTTTAGTTCCACAGGGGATGTGGAGGGCGAACAGACGAAGAGGGAGAACGTAGAGAAAGGGGGGCCTTCGAAGCACTCTGTGGTTTTGGGGGGGCTTAAATGGCACAACATGCTCACACGTTAAAAACCATTTCATGTACAGTTTTAGCAATAGTCCGGGCAACCTTTTATCTACCACTGGCTCCATATGCGATTTTTCTTTTTTTTTTTTCCTCCACCAGTGCAAAGTGCTCTTGCATAAAAATTACCATTCAAGGACAGCACAAAATTGCTCAACAGTAAACCAACATGAAGTGTAAGAACTCATTTTGTTCACTTTTTTTTCCCCCACAAAAATCAGCTCAATCAAAATGTTCTTATTGAGGTGCTATGTTTGTCCCGCATATCATTGCAAACCCGCAAAAAAAGAAGTAGCCTACCCTTGTTGTCGTAAACACAACCAAGCCACGTTCACAACATAAAACTACAGTCGATGCATATTCGAAGTAGGATTTTTTATTATTTTTTTTTAAACACAATTTTTTTAAACATTTAGTTGTTTTTTTTTACCCTGGCTTTTCCAGGATTTTTCCCCCCCAATAAATATACATAAACATTCAATATATGTTTTCATGGAAAACATATATTGAATGTTTATGTGTCTGAAATTTCTTTCGGTTTGTATAAAAAAAAAAAAAAAATCCATAATCATAATTTGTTAGACTTTTTTTTTCCTCAAAAAGGGAGCCAATCATAGTTAATAATCATGGCAGATTGCAATATTGAGGGGGGAAAATGCAACTACATTATTTTTCAAAATTGGTCAGCCCTTAGTTTGAACATCCAACAATAAAACCTGCTTTTATAACACAAAACAAATGTGGTCCGGCAAGCATTATCATGCAGCACAATTTTCATTTCATTTACTTGTACATAATTTGCCCTATTTGTTGCACAGATCAGTTGCCTGGACACAAGGTTTCAAAATGTTTGTCAAAACTAAAGGGACTCGGAAAATGCGCTGTTGATACCTTCCAAAATACAAAACATCTTTGTATATAAATCTGAATGTAACAAGATGCAGGCCCGTAGTCCAACCATAAAACCGCAGATTATAACAGCAATATAAATTACCGAGCAGTGAAACAATGAAATGTTTCATGAGGAATGGGAGTAGACTGGGTAACTTGATTGTGAAAAACTTGCATGTGGCCAAGCAGTCCGCAGGAGGGGAAAATGATGACATAAAATGGGAATACATGCGTGCATTTTGTAACGCCATCAGTGCCTGTGACAATGATGCTTTTGCAGATTCTTTCCATATTGACGGCGCGTCATTATTGGGAAATACGGCGGCGCTCACGTCGACCCAGCATCAGTGTGGGTGGGCCAACACTCACACATATGTGGCGGCGTCGGATTAGGAAGTGGTAGGCCACATCATTTTACTACCGAGAAGTTTATGGAAGGTTTCGCTTGTCTCCGGGGAGATGCGAAGCCCTCCCACCCACTCGTCAACCTAACGTCTCCCGTTTGCTCGCTGTCACTTGCTATTAGCATCACACCTGTCAATGACTTTCTTGACCACCAGAAAGGAAAGTTTCCTCATTAAAACTGGTCTCCACTGGTGTTTTGTCTGTACTTGTCTGTTCAGGACGTTGATTTGTATTGATTTTTTTTTCTTGTTTGTTTAATTATTATGTATTCATCGCCTCCAGCTCTGGTAATTGTTCAAATTAAAATTAACACATCTTCCAAGCTGAGCTTTACACGTGATACATATGATTCCCATAAAATTATTTTTACACGCACAAACAAATTATCCATTCCTAAATGTGTAACTTGTTTACCACATGTGATAATCATCATTATGTTTAGAATAAGGATCGAGCAGTATCATTAACCATACCTGTCATTGTGTTGTTTTTTTTCCTACTTTCATCACATCTTTGCTGGTTGGCCAGAACAAATTACATCCATCCATCCATCCATTTTCTGATCCATTTAATTCTCACAAGGGGCGCGGGGGCTGCTGGAGCCTATCCCAGCTGTCCTGAGGCAGTAGGCGGGGGACACCCCGAACCGGCTGCCAGCCAATCGCAGGGCACACAGAGACGAACAAACATCCATGCTCACACTCACACCGCGGGACAATTTCGAGTGTTCAATCAGCCTGCCGTGCATGTTTTTGGGAATGTGGGAGGAAACTGGAGTACCCGGAGAAAACCCACACAGGCCCGGGGAGAACATCCAAACTCCACACAGGGAGGCCGGAGCTGGAATTGAACCCGGTACCTCTGCACTGTGTGGTCAACGCGCTAACCACTGGACCCACCGGGCCGCCCCACAAATTACATCATTCTACTATTATGAGCTACGACAGATCTGAGAGTTACCTGACAGTGAAAGATGTATTCCGGTGTGGACTTTTTGAATTTGATGTTCCATACCAGGGCAACACCGTCTGGTTCGTGGGGGGCGTCTTCATTGTTGTTGTAGGAAGCAACAAGCAACTCGGGATACTGAGATAAAAAAAACGTGTTTTAGTTGAAAATAATAATAAGACATGAAGCTGAAGGGCTCACCTGAGGGGACCAGTCAAGACAGGTGACAACGCGATGCTTTGACCAATGATCATCATAGAAAAGTCGAGTGAAGGACAAACTTGAACCTCCAGCCAGGTCGCTGGGAACGCACGGCATGCGAGTCAATGAGAGTAAATCCGCATGCGCAAATTAAAACTCATCAATGCTCACCCCTCCTTGTCCTCCAGGGCTCGACCACCGTAGTCGAAGAAGATGTCGCCGCTTTCCGCCAGGGCTCTCTCCATCACCCGGATGCTGCAGTCGAAGAAATTCTGAAACTCAGATGAGTGGAGTATTTGCTGCCTCTCCTCCTCCGTCAGCTCCCGCAGTACAGGGAAAGAGCCTGCTGGTAGGAACAATTTCACTGTCATTATGTTCAACATGAATTAACTCATTTTTTAACATAATTTGGAAATTAGCCGTAACGCTGTATGGCAGCATTGAAAAAAAAAAGTTGAATGTCAAGCATTAGATAATATGAAGCGGAAAAAACGACATGCAGGACTGTCAACATCAACGACATTGTGTTCTCCTGACAGGTTAAGTTACTCACTCCCGATCAGAACCAGAGCAACATGCTAATTTAAACGACAAACGGCCCCTTAATGAACCTTTCATAAAATACTACAGTGAAGAACGTCACAAACAAGACACAAACAATACCGCTTGCCTTTGAACCAAATGGTTGCGCAGCATGGAGTCCGCTTATTGAAGTCCTTGTCCCCGAGCGCATGCACGCCATTTGGCGCCGTGGCCGGCGCAGACACGCAATTGCGCGGAGCTCAACCCTGCCTCTTAACTTTGATCCCCTTCCATCGCGACTCGTCAGAAAAGACCGAATTGAGCGGAACACATCAAAGACCGTCTAACAGGCCGCGACGGACGGGAGATGGATGACCGTGTGTTTATGACTGCACGTGCGCGTGTTTTGAGTCCCGCACGGCACGCTGATGATGATGCATGTGCGCGTTTGAATGTTGGCATCCCCCGTCAAGTCCTTTGTGTTTGTCTTTGGGTGCATCCGTCGTCTGTTCCCGGCCCCCGCGGGCCCTCCAGAAACATACGCGCACACTGTTGTTCTTCTTCGCTTTGAAGTATGTCCCAGGGGTCATGTGGAAGCTTTTTAATCATTGCTGACCTCAACATGCCGGAGCGCTGATATGGCGAACGAGTCTTAACCTCATGCGTAACCTTCCGTCTTCCATCCGATCCACCCACTGATCCAAGGTCGGGGAGCGCGTGTGGTGAGTGCTTGACCGACTTCACGTGAAAAGTCAAGAGGACTGAAAAGTGCGAGGGATTGTAGTCACTGAGCCGCGCAATGTTTTATGCTAACCTGCTCGAACATGAAAGGAATGAAAATCGCTTTTGATTTCAAAGAAATGCCAGCCTCCCAAATTGACAAAAAAAATTACCAGTGAAGTTCATAAATATTTTGTGATGGCTACCACTTTTAGCGTGGAACCAAAGAATTTACGCCACAGTGCAATGGAATGTCTTTTTTTTTTCGGTAGTTTGGGCATCGTCAATTAACAGATTGTGGTTCGACTTTGGATATTTTAGTGTCTTTGTACTGCAGATTTTCATATTGGATCGTGCATGTTTACGCAATGTGTTATGCCCCCCCCCCAAAAAAAAAAGCATAATAATTAACTCTTGGACATGTAATTGAAACTACTGCTGTCTATGCAGGCAGCCATTTTCTTTACCTTTATTTTCCTTGTCATCGTCATCCTGCAACTCCAACTCAGGCCCTGGCTTCGTTTCCATCAGCTCTTCATCCTCCTCTTCCTCCTCTACTGAGAAAGAGTTAAAAAAAACAAACAAAAGAAAACAAGGGAGAGAGAGAAAGAGAGGGCGAGAGAGAAAGAGAGCACTTGTATTAATCAACAGCTGTTCCAATTTTCTCTGACCTCCCACTGTGCACCTCCTTCTCAACCCCTTCTTACCAAAATAATCATTGCCAGACACGTACAAGTACACCTGACTTTAAAAAAATTAAGTCTAAACGGGTCATTTACAAACAGGCAGATGTGAATAAGCCTTTTTTTTTTTTTTTCTTCATTAAACACGTACACATATCTACAGGAGTTTGTTTCCTTGTGTGTTCGTATAGCCACATGTGAATATAAAACACGCACACACACACACACACACACACACACACACACACACACACACACACACACACACACACACACACACACAGCAGGAAATAGAAATAGTTGTGTTGACTCCCTCTTCCCGGCTCTCTGTCACCTTTGACCCCTAGAAATGGTATGTATGTGTAAAAGGGGATTCCCTTTACATTCCCTCCAATCAGGCTCGGCAATTACACTTGACTATCCAGGATTTCTTTTCAGTGTGTGCAGCGTGTGTGTTTGGAAGGAGGTGGGAGTTCAAGCATGAAAGGTTACTGTCAACACAGACACCTGCTTGTCAGCTACTGACCCCCCCCAAAACCTCCCCCGCGATC